ACCGCAACTACCCTCTCCGCCCTGGTTAATAAGTGTGGCTGATAGGGAATTTGCAATGTCTGCTGGGAGCTGCCAAGCCAGCTGCTCAGACCACACAACGGTGGCCCACGGTCCCTCTAAACTTCAAAGACACATACAGGAAAAGTATCATCTCCTGTGTACGCTAAATAAACAAACCGTGAATTAAAATGCTCTCTCACATGTTGCTAGTTAAATATATAAACATTGGTGCTTGTTTTAAGGGACAGAAAGCAGGAATTGCTGCAGGATATCTGACGGTCCTAGTCCTGGAACATGCAATACTACAACATTTCACCAGCTGTCATTCACTGGCCATGGACAGGAGTTACAGCAAAATAGAGGGGACGTATCAGTAATACTCTATTCTAACTTGCACCTATTATCCTTATTAAAAATAAAACCAAATACGAACACAACCCTTATTCTTATAAAGGCCTGGAAGAAGTACCTGCCAGTTTTAGCAATGGCATAGTGTAAATCCTAATGTAAATGAAACAAATTGGGAAATATCAGTGAGAAGAAGATCTGGGTTTTGTAGAAAGGAACCTGCCTCAGGACCGCTATCTCCTGGGCCACCCTCTAACTGGTAAAGGGAATTTGGTATAATCTTTCAGGCCAAACACAGGGAAAGACCTTTGACAGGGTTTGATATTTTTCAGTAGAGTCAGTAGGCTTTAGATAGGTAGATTTCTGAGCCCTGAAAATAATCGAAGTGGTTGATAGCCAGCGGACTTACTGCTCTCGAGTAGGAACACTGACTTCTTTTGACAAGGTATTCAATGTCTGCTTGGAAAAGCTTGTAGCATAACTAGGAAATGTTGGAAAGCTGACCTTCACCTGGAATAAAGAGGAACACCGCACATGAGTCTTCCACAGCAAGAAAACAGAGAAATTAAAGTAGTATCTTGCTGAGCTAACAAACAAAAACTTAAGTTTTCTAAATAGCTTTTAATTTTCAAAGGATTTTTCAGCAGAGCCAAAGTACCATGTCACAACATTCTTATTTCAGAAACATTTGTTAATTCCCCCTACACTACCAAAGAGTAAACTGATGAAAAGTAGGGTATAGGGGCTCCATTACATGTGTATATCACACCCCAGTGTAACTGGAAAGTCTAGAGAATAAAAAAAAAAACAACAAAAAAAAACAACACAAGAAATGGCAAATCTTCCAGAAAAACAGATTTCTGCCAAACTACATATTTCCTAACCAACGAAAGGCTGAATTTACAGTATGTTTTGGGGCATCTGCTGCCACCCAAACCAGCAAACAGAACAATGCCAGGCTCCCAGACATCCAAAACCACAGAATATTCTCCTAACAATAAAAAACCTCAGACACCCATGAAGCAACAACAGAGTGAAGCCACTGGAGATCATCGTGACCTAAGTTTGAATGAGTGCTGTAATGAGTGTTGGCCTGCAGCTACCATGGAAACACAGAGCAGCATTCTTAAACAAGGGATTAAGTGTTTCTGGTATATTTACACAGACTGATCCATTACAGTACTCTGAATTTGCTATGCTTGCTCACTACTTCAGAAATCCCCAGAGTCAGTGCTGATTATTAGCAATCTAATCAGATATGCACAGGGGAGGAAACTGAAGCACGTACTGAAGAACTTGGTGGCTGGGTCCGGATTCTTGCCTGCCTTTCTTCTTTGAGATTATTTATGTTTTGAAGAGGGGAAATTGCTACTTTGATCTGCCCTCGGCACTGTCCACTGAAGTCCGTAATATTGTACCACCCGCACACGAGCTGGAAGCCAGAAAGAAGAGGAGAAAGGTCCACTGATGCAAATCCTATCACTCGCTCAGTCTCTGGGGAAGAAGAATAAAAAGCAGATATTAATTTCAACTGCATGTAAACAAAACATTTTCAGGAATGCTAAAAATCAGCCAGTTATACAGCCCTTGAAATATGCTTAGACTTTACAGGGAAAGACATCTTATAAAACTGAAAAAATGGTTTAAAAGCTGACAGCTCTCATGGGGTAAAGAGCAATTAAAGAGTGGAACAAAAAAGTGGAGGAAAAAGAAAACAGAGTTTAAGACAACATAAACGAGACTTAGATTTTGGTTGTTAACATGCTTCAAACTAAGAGACCTATGGTGCCTGATTGAGAAGCAGGAAAAATTGTTTCCAGCAATTAAACCAGCTTCCTCCCTAAGGATCTGCCAGACCAGCTGTCCCTACTGCAGCTGTTGATAACCTGAACACCTACATTGGTAATAATTCACAGTAGAATGAGTGCCTTGCTGCAGGTTTAAGAAACGACATGAGAGTTACGTACCCCATGCAATACTTAATCAGCAGAACTAGTTAAACCAGGCTTGTAATAAAGGGAAAGATACTCAACTTGAAAATGGGCTGGAAATAAGAGACAATCAGAGACTTGAAAAAATAAACCTGGAGGCCAACCCGGGAACCTCAGCAAATGCATTCCGCCTCCGGAATTGCATTCTCACTTCAGAAACTCCTGTTTCTTCCCTTTTCACTTTGCCAAAACTTTCAAAAAGTGCTGACTTGTCATTACACTGTTGCACTTTTGTGCAACATTTTGTACTTTCTGTCTTGCAAATTTATCTGAAGTACAGAACAAACAATCCTATCCAAGAAGAGGATATTATTTGGATTACTTTAGCAGTTACATTCAGCTAAAAATGTCCCTGCAGAGATAATGAAAGACCAGAACAGGGAGAGGGATTGCCAGGAGAATCACTGTGTACACACAGTACTCTCTATAATACAGACGAAAGGCTGAGTTACAAAGCAAGTTTATTTTTGAAGCAAAAATCAGACAGCTGAACTTTAATATGTAAAAAGAAGGAGAAAACCCCAGTAAAGATCATGTCCTAGCAGTTTGAATTGAAGAAGTAGGGCTGTCTTCCCAACAACAAACATGGATTTTTGCGCTTGCTTGGTACCAATTAAATATTGGAGGATCTGGGCTAGCAACAAAACAAGCAAACACCAGTTTGAACTATTAGCAGCATCTTTTATCATTTAATAATAAACAGCAGGTTCAGTAAATATGCTTGCAAAGAGCTTTTATGTTGTTAGGTTTGAAACCCAAGGCCTTCAACTCCCCCAGTGAATGCTGAGACCAGATACAGGAGCAATTGTTAAAATATATCCATGCCACTATAAAAGTATTTGATTACAATTGGCTGGCCACACTTCAACCAACTGCAGAGGCAACAAACAGCATATGAAAGACACAGTGAAGAATTTCCTTCACTAGGAAAAGCCAACCTCTAAAATACTGTCCAATTAAAACCAGAAAGAATACAAATGAACCAAACCTTGCCAGATGATTAATGGGGAAAAGGAGGATGCCAAGAGGCAGGAAATCAGTGGGTATTATCTCTAGCATTCTTCTAGTGCAAGGTAAAAAATGTTATTACAATTCTACTCTCCAATTTACATAATAGAATTTACTTTACTTGTATTAAATACAAGTCTGCAAGGAATGCAGAAAAGACACTCCTCTCAATACTGCACTACAAACTTTACCTGCTTTATGCCACACTTTGAAGACCAAGGTTTGCTGTGGATCCAGCAGAAGCTCTTTGGATAATCTGTTGGGAACAAAAATCATAACATTTTATACAAAGTAGGGAAAAGAACAAGTACAGTAAAATGCCTCTGAAGTTTCAATGCCATTGTATCTATCCAGACAAATCAGCTTCTTTCTGGACTGATGGGGTAGGGGCAAAACACACCAAAATCCAAATCATTGAGCCCTCAAAAGCATAACTATCTTCACACGGTTTGGGCTTTTGCTTATTCAGGAAGTATTTCCCTCTCCTCATTCTTCTTGTAAATTTAAAAGACAGGACAATAAAACCATGAAGAAATGGAAATACAATTTATCTCATGACTCAATAACACAGTGACAGCAAAGCACTGGGTTTTATGGTTGAAAGCTATAATGTTTGAAGTTGATTTCTGGAAAAAAAACAACCTGAAAATTGAGGTGTCAAATGTACAACAGCTTTTAAGTTGCTTGAAGCAATTCAGATATGACTCTGAGCATAAGCAGCCTCTGAAACAAAACTTTTAAACTTCAGCTATCAGAGCCTTTCAATGGCTTAATCTTCATATTACAAATTCCCTAAAGCAAAAAACCCAACTCAGCAGTATGGCAGAAAAGACCAGTCCTGTGGAGGCACTGGTATATATTTGTGATTGTCAAAATAAATTCAGTATGCTTTCTTGTTGCCTGTAACAGACTTGTTCCACCTAGTTTAGAAAACGCCTTTGGCTACTGCTTTGGAATTAATTTTAAATCTGGTATAGAAACACTGGGGAAGCAATAAGATTGCAAACACAGATTTATTTCTGAATATTACCATGTACAACTTGATCTGCTGAGGTTCCTTGGAGTGGTCAATTCATCTGCTCTAATTTAGGTTCAGATATCTAAGTCCAAGCTATGTTCCCTACACTATTTTGGCAGTCACTGGAGAGAAATAGGCATCCTTAGGGAATTTTGTCCTAAGCTAGGTCTCTAACACAGATCAAGTGACTCACTGTCTGGAGGGGCCTATGTCTCTCCAGTGACTGCAGAGGAAGCCAAGGCTGAACAGCTCTGGAGTCAGAAACCTAACTTTTCAGTAGGTGAATCCAAACTTAAGAGCTCTGGTCCTGAACCAGGGCATAATTTCTAAGTATGAAACTAGTAAAACATACAGAAAAAGCCAAAAAATTGGATCAAGTCTTACTTAACCTTGCCAAGAGTCCTTTAGCAATTAGCAGCCCCTTCCTCCAGACAGGGAAACTACAAACGAGTGGAAACAGACTGACTCACCCGAGGTCTTAAGCCAAAATACAATGCACCCAAGGTTCTGTGCATGTCAAACTGCCCTTCCTCACATAAGCTTTAAGATCAAGCCTTCTCAAACAACTTTTCACCCAATATTAGCAGCACTTGGTAATTGTAAAACATGGAAACAAGCATTTTTAGCTGAGACTACAGGCCTGGTAAGTAGAAAAGCACCCCCTCCCAACTGGATATGTCCTTTTCATACCTAGCCTGGCTGTCAGACGCAAAGTGTGTCTGTGCGAGCCCACATCACTTACCTTGCTTGTTGCTGAAAGTCCCAGACTGGTGAGTCTGTATTTTCTATTACTGAAGTGGTTATTGGAGCATCTGCACCAGCAACAGCAAATGATACACAGCTACTGGGTGCTGTTACTTCACGTTCTGTCAAAGGACTCCCTAAAATTATACAGAATTAAATACAGACTTGTTATTAATAATTTTAAAAAGCAAATCTAAAAGCAGTTCAGCAATTAAAACCAGATAATTAACAAAGAAATCCACCACCTAGGAAATACTCCTTTCCATTGGTGGAGCTGAAAACACAAATATTTACAATGGGAGCAAATATTACATGAACCTTTTACAGAGCAGAAACCAGAATATTCAAGGGAGAAACAGGAAAAACATTTGCCTGAGATCATCTGAGAAGTCAGAGGCAAAGCTAGGAATAACCCCGGGTCCCCAGGTCCCTATTCCAGTGCTTGATCTACCCTCCATGCTGGGCCACAGTTTGGCAATCCTAGCTGCAAACACAGAAAATATTCAGCATTACAAAAGGCAGTTAGACTTAAGAGCTGGACTGCTGAGAGGAAGCTCACTTGTGTGAATAAGAAAACGTACACCTGGTGTTAATGATACCCAAGGATTAATAAACTTTCTTATAGCCTCTCTTAGTTCTTCTCAAAAAGACCGAAATAGTTAAGAGAAATTCAACATTCCCGCAAAGTAGAAACAAGCACCACTCGCATCTGTTATGAAGATTTAAATACAGAGGAAAAAGCAGTATATAAAATTTTACTTCAAGTTCTTGCTGGCTTCCCTCCCAACTTTTCCCACCACCCTTCATACCCATGCAGAAGTGGGAGTTTGTGTTACAGATCAATTGTCACAGCCCCCTGTATTCTCCCATGGTACGCGCTTTGAGCAGGGATAGAGCACACAGAAAATAAAATACCGGTCACCATTACTACTTGAAGTGCACATGTGCTCCCACTAGCCCTGCTCTGACACCATCAGGAAATTTGAGAGAAGAAAGTCTACTGTAGATGAGGCCTTAACATTTTGACCAAAACATCAAAGTTTTTATCGGGGGGGGGG